TATGGCAAACTGGGTGTTGAATGAGTAGATGGGAGTCAGCGTGGGCGAAAGGTGTGCTCTGAAGTAAGAGTGGTCCAGCAGTACATGTGGTTATTATATGTGGTGTGTGTTAAAATGCCAAGCTGGGCTCAGGGGGGGTTTAAGGACCATACCCAGCAGATGATAGAGCTACCTCCGCTTGTAATGTTCAGAAACCAATGGGGCTATTACTTCCAGGCTTATCAGAGAGCAGGGAGCACATCAGACCCTGCAATTTAGCCAGCAGTCAGTCACACATACAAATATGCAGACATAGCCCGATGCTCTGATGAATGGCGGAGTGCGATCTGCCTGTGCAGGCTGTCAGAACAAGGCTACGTGTCTTAAAATAGATTGCACCGCATGTCTTCTTGTCTTAAATACATTTCTATATAATTAACAGAGTGGTTTCAGCTTAACACTTGCGCCGAGACAAATTGAAATTGACCGAAATCATTTCCAGGCGGTTTTTACGTCTTGCTGTAAAACCTTGTAAGGATATTGGCTTTGGTGTTTTTAACGGAACATATCGAATGGATCCGAAGCTGTTTGGGAGGTTATCAATACTCTTCCTGTTCTTCCAGCGTGTTTGTGTTTCGGTCATTAAATAGTCATGTCACAGAGTCTCCAGAGAGTTGAAAAGATTTCCAGAAGAGAACACATTAGGGGTGACTACTTCCTTTTCCAACTCTGAGAAGATTTTTTTTTTTGTGTGTGTGCTTATTGGCTGATTACCAATTACCAGATTTACTTACTATTACCAATAACAGATTAGTTTGAGACCTAAATAGTAATTTCTCATATTTTTACAGCGGTCTAGCCTGCTGTGTCAAATTGTCTGAGTAATTGGTCTTGAATCATTAAATATGTTTGTGTATAAGCATCACTGGAAAGATGAACTCTTCAGGATGCAGATAAAACTAATTTCTTTAGTTGTGTGTGAGTGCAAAGGTGCTTTGGATAAGCATTTATACCACATTAAACCTTTTTCCTATTTCTTCAGGTTATGCACATAAAATAATACATTTTATTGGGATTTTATGTGTTTGACCTGCAAAGTCAATCAATGAATAAATACGTTTATTGTCTTGTATTTATTCAACTCCATCAACACTTTGCAAAACTATCTTTGGCTATAATTGCAGCTACAAATTGTCTTTACCATATTTACACAACTACACCCTGAAACTTTCGGCCAATTCATCTTCGCAAAGTCAGGATCACTCAGAGAGATTGGAGAATATTCATTTTTAAGTTTCAGCAGTTATACTTGTGATATACATGTATATGCTTTGGCTATATAAACCATTTCACTTTAGCTCTGACGAAATGTTCAGGGTCACTGAACTGCTGGAAGGTGAACCTCCACTCCAGTCTCGACTATTTAGCGAGCAGATTTGTTTTTTTTTTTGTTTTGTTTTTTTCACGGGATTCCTCTGGGTTTTGCTCCGTTCATTTCCTCATCAACTCATATTAGATTTTTGACCCTGTTGATGAAAAGAATCCCCCGACCCCATCAAGATGTTGTTGAAGTATCTTCCACTTCACAATTGTGCATTTCTTGGGTTTGTCTGCGTCAGAAAATCCCACTGAAATACATCATGGTTTGTGGTTGTACCGTGAAAACCTGCTACAAAGGTTTAAGGGGTGTGAATGCTTTTACAAGGCACTGTGCCTCTTGTGCAAGTGTGGAAGTGCATCTGTGAAAACATCTTGCAGGATTGCAAGGAGAGGAAGGAAGATCACAGAGAGCTGGAGAAGGAACGGGTTAAAGGGTGAGAGCTGGAAGAGGCATGAGCTGGACAAAATAGGATTTTTTTTCCTTTACTGTCGTGTCTATGCGGTCAGAGTAAATCTCCTTACTCAGGGGTTTTGTGTGCAAGGGGGCTTTAACGTCCCCACTCTCCTTGATGAGACATCTTTCTTGTTTGTTCAAACCATTCATTACGTGGAGGCTGCTGGACGAGCTGTGCCGCTGGCCGGCGTATTTATCACCAGGCTAGAGCGCGCTTTGGCTGACAGTAGGCGATTGATGACCAGGTCTGGGCCTGAGAGGCTGAGGAAGCCTTAATACAATGTAAATGACCCACTCCCATTTCCAATCTAGGCTAAACCCGAACCCCATCCCTGCCAAGGTATCTTTACCCAAGAATCCGCCTGCGGTTGTTTCTGTGCACATGTGCATGTATGTGTCTGTGCTTGCTCTGTTACATGTGCAAGAGAATTCAGATGAACACAATGGAAGCATAGAAGTTTTAGGGGTGTGGGAAAACAGGCTGCACTCCTGAATCACGCTGCTGTGGAGAGGATGTGCACAAATAAGGCAAACATGCAGATGCATAGACGTCTATTTTCTCTATGCACCAATGCATCTTCTCTTTATGCACACTTTCATTTGTGCATACACACGCACACACGCATACACACATACGCACAATAACTCTGTCATTGCTAGCCAAGGAAATGTCAGCACCTGGCAATCAAAAATTGCATTTCTATGCAAGCATTATCATTGTCCCTTAGTTAATGATTTTAGCATATTAAAAGGGTCTGTGTACATAAGTACAAATCAGATTAATCCTCCTCTGCGGCTGGGACTCATTATTTGTCCAATCTGAGTCTTGTTTGGTATTAATTGTGCACATTCCTTGAACCATATTTTTAATCTATCCTTTAATTAAAACATTGAAACAGGCAGGGCTACCTGAAAAAAATGAAATCCTCCTCCGCACCGATATGAACTCACACTTACATCAATTATTTCCACAGTAAATGAGAAAATGCTTCTTGAGCAACTGTTATCACGTCGCGTTAAAATTGGATTCAATTAGCACAAGCCAGTAGAGCATCACCAGCTGTAGAGTTTGCTCTCTTGATGAGCTCAAGAGCTGAAATGACGAGGCCAAAGTTTTGATGATTGGAGGTTGTTTTTTTTTTTCTTTTTTTTTTGCTGGAAAAAAGGGGAATGTGTGTCAGTGACGCCTGAAACCATCTGAAAATAGAGAGGGATTTAAACGTCACCTTTTCAAAGAGAATTTTTCTTTGTTTTGATTTGCAGGTGTCATGCCTGTGAAGGTTTTTATGCGCCTGTGTGTATTTCTGTTTGCACACGCTTTCTGTGTGCGCATGCACACGGGCTGAATGAAACACATAGTGTCTCATTTGTTTCGTTTGCGTGCGCCCCGACTCTTAATCTGGCCCTTAAAGACATCTGTCACCAGCGATCACTGTTGTTTTGTCATGCTTCATAGCAGGCCCGGAGGGAGCGAGGCAGCCCAAGGTCTGCCATTTATATCAACCAATGTTTTTTAGATTGGACCTGACACAAATAGTTTCATTGCAGCCCTTGTCGGAGATTTCCATTTTCAGGTAAAAAATCCTGGCAGAGCTGTAGAGGAGATTTCACAGTATTCAGTTCCTTTGGCATTAGCCCCTATTCAGCTGCTCTCGGTGAAAAAGCCACCGCCAGGATACATGTCAGACATTCAAGGAAAGATAAATGTATTTGCTGCAAATCTGCTCCCACTCATTTTGTTGCCTGGTATTATGAAAGGATTCTCAGACACTACAATATCTGCGTTGGGCCAGCTGCAAAGTCTTGTCAGCCTGCGTATATGTCTCTAAGTGTCTTCTTTAGCTCTGTGTGCAACACATACGTTTAGCATACACACTATATATGTTGAAGTTTTCCTGTTTTGTCTGTATGGGCAGCCTGGGGATTTTTAAAACGGGGTTATCATAACTGACAGTTTTGACAAACTTGTTTGACCAGCTTTGACTGGTTTAACACAGAATTTTGAGCGTGATTGTGTGCGAGAGTGGGTGAAAGCATGCATCCTGAATGTCCATACCGCGTGAGGGAGTGGCAGGGTTGGGTGGAGGTCACAAGTAGGTGCAGTCTTAGATTACACAATGCAACAAACACAGGAGCATATTGCATGCGTGCAACAATGTGCAGCAGCATGCAATATAACTCACGCAGCCCTTTAACTCTTCCAGATTTTGCCGTGTCATAAGCACAAACCTCACATTTTAGATTGAGGGTTTTATGTAATGAATCAACGTAAAGAATTGCATGCATTGAGAGACGGCATTGACAGCGTCATGGTTTTGAAGTACAAAAACAAACCTTTTTGAATACATCGTTACCATCTAACCAGTTCTTCTTTGCAAACAATTTTAAGTTCCTTCACTTTAGATGAGATACATATCTGGATATCAATCTTTAAATTTTACCATAGATTATTTATTGCTCTGGACTTTGACTGAGCCATTCTAGCACATGCATATGCATTGATCCCAACAATCGTTTTGCAGCCCTCGCTGTATGTTTATGGTAGTTGTCCTACTGGAAGGAAAACATTCAAGGGTTTTAGAGCCTGAATTAAACTAAAGTCACCCAAACATCTACTTTGACCAGCAGATGTCCCTACTCAAGGAAGTCACCCCTACAGTATGATGCTTGCACCACCATGTTTCACTATGAGGGATGGTCTTCTTAGGCTGATGTCCACACAGTGTTTTGCTTATAAGCCAAAATGTTTTGCTTTGTCTCAAAAGGCAAGCTGAATTTCTTATAACTTTGTTCTGTTCACGTTCCCATGAAGGCCTTCGTGGAATAGTTGTTATCCTATGAGGTGTGGATCTCTGCAGCTCCTCCAAAGTAATAATGGGTATCCTGGTTTCCTGCTTCTCTGATTAACCAGGAAACCTAATCGGGCCATTAATTTAGGTGGAGAATGAAGACTTCTGAGACTTGCACTTCTGCCATATCCTCCCCATTTTCATTTTACTTAGCTGTTTATGCTCTTCTTTAATTTGGTCTCTCGCATAAAAGCGATAATACATTCAGGTTTGTGGCTGAATATGTTGAAAACAAGTATGTTCATGTGTTCATTTCCTAGAAATGTCCATGCTCCTGTTAATCTTTATGTCAAAGTGGCTCATGTTTGTGTTTTGCCCCTGTCTCCTTCCTCCTGCAGCATCCATACCCCTCTGAAGAGCAGAAGAAGCAGCTAGCCCAAGACACGGGCCTCACCATCTTACAAGTAAACAACTGGTGAGTTAAGATTTCCGCCTTCCCTATCTCCGCCAACAGCATCGCTCTGCCTTTCATTCTCAAAAGCCTTTGCCTCCACGTCTACCCACCAGCCATGACGGCTAATACTCCTAAAGTGTGAAAACCGTTTATGTACATCCCTCCCCGTCATCCATAGACACACACACACGCTCACAAACAGTGACAACCTTTGTGGCACTATTATGTTTGTGCTACGGGGATATGCCAATGTTATCGGTACAGTGTTCTGCAGCTGAGTCTGTGATCTTTGCGGGTTTGATGCATGTATATATATATATATATATATATATATATATATATATATATATATATATATATATATATATATATATATATAGTTGGATATATTGAAAGAAGCAGACAGAGATTGTAAGCCATCCCTACAGCAGCTCTCATGTCTACCGCACCCCTTTATCCACAAAAAAAAAAAAAAAAAAAATGATTCCAAGCACTGCCACGAATGCCCCACAACAAGCAAAACTGGCTTCCACCCCCTCCCCGTTTTACATGAGCTATACGGTGGATTAAGGTTTTGGTGGCCTGGCCAGCAGGGTCTTTGTAGATGGCTTAGCACATAACTGGGGGTGGTGGATTAAATAAAATGATCACAGAAGCAAAGAAATGATACAGGAATTACTTATCAAAATACTAGCCCAGGTTTTATCTGCGGCTTAATTTGGTTCAGTACATTCTCAGGCTGATGTTCAGATTAATTGAACTGACAGCCTCCTTTCAAAATTCCAGGAAGGTATTTGCACGGATTTCAGGTCTTACACAAACTTAATTATATGGAACCCCATTTTATCATTCTAATTCCATGTAGTGGGGGTTCTATTTACAAATGACAAGTCTGTGCCTTTTATTCACAGCTTTCCTTAATATATTTATCAAAGCGGGTTCATTTACAAAGTGCTCTATCTGTTGGATACAGGCAGGCCGACATTAACGAAGCTTTTAGGTTTATCAGCCTCGCAGCCCTGACAAGCCACCCGAGGGTCAATTGATTTTTTGGTTCTGTGATTCATTTTTTTCCCCCCTCATTTTTACCGGATCACAATGAGAAACATGCCTGCAGAATTAGCCGGGTTTGTCAGCCTTATCTATCAGCCCCCATCCCCTCCTCCCCCTCCCTCCTCCCCCAACGCCTCCCTTCCTCTTACCCCGCCACCGAACCTCCACCCTCCCCACCCTAAAATGGCTCTGTCTCTTTCACACACCCTTTTGCTTTATTCCCTTGTAGCCAGGGGAAGTCAAGCTACTTAAATTGGCCACAGGAACCGTTGTTATCAGACTTTAATGCACCCTACAGTGTGGATAGCATTTCAATTACACCAGTAACCAAAGATTAGACCCCGCTTGCCTGTTTCATGCCTCATGCCACGTCGTGCACCTTACCTACAGGAGCAGAAAATTGAGTTGCCTTGCCTATGTCATGGTGATTAATGCGGAAATACTCAGCTAAACTGGGAGGAGAGAGACAGAGTAACAGATTGAGGCATAGACAGATGTAAGCAGAGTCCCTGACTTATCTTTAGTCGTGAAATTTAAGCATCAGATTCGTTTTACCTGCGCACAATTTTTTTGAAGCCTTGCGAAAGTATTCATGCTTTTTTTTATTTTCTTCTAACTTTGTCACATTTTGTCCACAAACTTTGAAACAAGACCATTAGGTTAATCTGATGAAGAGGAATATATATTCTATTGGGGTTTTCTGTCATACATTAACACACACGCTAGAATTAAATTGTGAAGTTTAAGGAGCCTATAATGTGATTTATAAGTAAAACTCTCAAAATTTAGTTATGCTTGGGTAGAATAGGTTGGAGAATCACCTTTTGTTGCAATAACAGTTGGATGTGTTTTTCAGGCACGTGTTCACCAGCATAGCACGTATAGAGTGTATTCTTTTTTTTGCAAAATATCTGAAACTCAGTCAGACTGTGGAGAGCTTCTGTAAACACATATGGATTAAAGTCTGGACTGTGATATGGTCAGTCTACCAGGTGAGGATGCGTTGATCCCAACCATTCTGCTGTAGCTCCTGCTGTATGTTTAGGGCTTTTGTCCTGCTGAAAGGAGAGTCTCCACCTCAGTGTCGCAGTTTTATTCATAAAAAAAAACATGAAGGTCGTGCTATTATTTTTCTGTCCACTTCAAATGTATGCACTACTTATTTTTGATCTATCACATAAAATCCCAGTAAAACAGAAGGAAGTCTGTGGTTGTAATGTGGCAAAACTTGAACATATTTAAAGGGCACAGAGGGTTTTGCAAGGTACTCCATGTTTATGTGCATATGCATCAATGTCAAATTATCTACACATTGTCATGTGGAGTTGAAAAATGACAATAGCTGCATGAATAAACGTTCACATGGGGTAAAATTTTCAATAAGACACTAAAGAGGAGAGGAATATTGTACTGCGAGGCCATCAGTGGTTTACTCTGAGTTTGGTCAGCACAGGATGCTTCCACATTAAAGGGACGTGTTACAGGGAAGGAGAGGCGAGCGGATGACGTTTTACATATCTCACTTTCCATGCCAGTAATTTACATTGTTCTGTGCTGATTTATTTCTGGTTCTACCCGGCCCTTATACGGCCCATATGGGGATCACTTGAAGCATTTCTGTGTTATAAAAAGAGAAGATAAAAAAGAGAGAGAAAAAAAAAACAGCTTTCCAAATTCCTGGCTGGCCCTCACATTGTTCTGTAGTTCCCTTTGATGCATGGCTGCTGCGACGTTACCGGCCAAAGAGGGGCCAAGGGAGACAGAGACAGACGAAGGGAGAGATAGGAGGAGAGGATGAGTGGGGGCGGGGGGAGGTGGATGGGAGGGGATGGCCGCCGTCTTCGGTTACCAGAGCTTTCCCTTGGGGAAAGGATGTGCTGAATCAGGGCTTTGTCCTCCGGCACAATCGCAGCCCGGTGAGGGCACAACGGTGCTCTGTGTGATAGTCAATGGACAGTGCATCTCGCTCTTTTCCCAACTTTTGCCTCGTCAAACCTCCCCACACCGGTACCCTCCCTCCCTGTGCGCTAACCTGCCGCTCACCTGTATACACGGAAAACAAAACCCAGATGGTTTGAAGTCTTTTGTGTTAGCGCCGCCGACACGCTCCACCTGCTTCAGTATCTAGTGCATATCGTTAGCTAACAGCCTCATCTGCTTGCAGCCCACACCCCATTAGCTGTTCAACGTTAATAAAGAGCAAAGGAAGAGGTTAAAGTCCACAATTGTGCCTCGCTGGTGCTGAGCAGATGAGGAGGAGGGCTCAATTGTTCTGCTGATAGTTCCAAAAGTGTGTTTGTGTTTGTGCAGGCGATGCACATTACAGCAGGAAGCATTTGCACATGCACATGTGTCTGTACCCCATTAGTTAACCATAAAGTAGTGTTTTTGTTTTGTTTTGTTTTGTTTTTCTTGCCGTTTTGCACCCAAGACAGATTGGAGGCGTGGTCTGGAAAAGGTGAGGGCCGTGTCTCACACTGCATTGGCGTCTGCACGCTGAAACATTTACCGTTTACAGTATCTAGCCGCGTATTTGCCTGTCTCAGCAGCTCCTGGTGTCCTGCTATCAGTCTGTGCTAAATGGAGCCTGACTGAATCCTTTCATGTCACAGTGTCAGACCCAGGAAGATGGGCCCTCACTCACTTCCATAAACCCACACGGCTGACTATCCCACCATTATTTACCTCTGCAGCAATGCCGATGCACGGCAGCACACACATTTTGGGGAGAGTAAAGGGGGGGTGGGGGGGGGTTCATGAGTCTGGGAAATGACGGTGATGACAGATGACTGAGAGAAACAACATCTTAAAAAAAGGGAAGGAAATCATCCTTTCCTTATTCCCTCATCTCACAGGCAGTCATTTCTGTGGCAGAGGGAGAGGCAGAGCAAGTCAGAGAACGAATATGTCACTTCTTGGCATCTGTGATGACTGACTGCTGTGCCACTGGAGCACTAATAACAATAAAGAGGGCAGTAAGCCACACACTATTTTTACTTCTCTGCCTCCTCTCCACAGCCAAGGGGCAGGCTACATGCACAGACAGAAGCACACACACACACACACACACACACACACACACACACATACACACACACCCATACGTGCACTGGGGAGAGGCTCTAATTAGCGGCAGAAAGCAATACAATGAGTGAGTTATTAAGACATAGGGGCGGATCGCAGCCAACCTTTGGCCCTTGTCAGAGCACAGGTCACATGATAAGGGAAGGATATCCACCAGACGACGGCGCCAAGCAGCCTGTGCCCATTGAGAAGATGAAATAGGCTAAACCTCTGCAGCCACTCAGGGCAAGGCATGGTGCACTGATTGTTTTCTTCAATGAAACAAAGAAAACTATGATCAGCAAGGTGCTGAGAGAAAAGAAGAAAACTATGGCATAAATATTGACTGGAAATCATGAGGGATGTCCTCCAATACTTTAGTGGTTCAGATATCAACAAGTGTGGGCGCTTTAGATCCTGAAAACGGTAAAATCTTTATTGCTGTGAATGTTAAACAAATAATGTTGTGAATACATTTAAAACATACAGTGCTTTTCTCTGGAGCAGTTTGCTAAAGTGCTTGTTCAGTGTAATACTAACCTATTGTCTCTGTTTATTTACATTTGGTTCTAGGTAATAATGTGTGGAGAATATGTAGAGAATATTTCATGCTTTTAAAAAAAATATATATTTCTGTTAAATTGTAAAATTTTTGTTTCAGCTGCTCTCGGCTCTTTTATCTTAAGCTGCTGTCTGGGGAATATCTGAGCACAACCCATGGGTCTGGAGCTGCAGCACCCAATGCAATCTCTTTTTCAGTGTGAATGAATGTTACTGTCAAGGGTGAAAAACACCAAGATTGTGAGTCGAAATCCAGATGTATTAGATTAGCTGAATATGCAGAGCATATAAAAGACCTTTTCAAGTCACATTGAAATAGGGTGTGAATATTAGAAGCTATCAGTGCCCCGTATGGCTGCATGATTCAGCTGTGTAGCTGGTTGGGTGAATTTGGGACATTCCTAAAAAAAAAAAAAATAAATAAAAAAAAAACTATTTATTGCAGCCCAATCATTTTGCTTTCAGACATTAACCTATTTATGTCAAATCTTCATTTGTCTCATATTGTGCACAAACAAACTGCTCTAATATCTCTGAACTCTTTCATTTTCCTTACAGCAGGGCTCCGTCACTATTCAGATCTTTCCTTCTTTTTTTCCTCCCGCTTGAACAACCGAGGACCCTCCTAGAGTTTTTCGGTTTGTATCTGCAGGGGTTCATAGCTTTGTTAAGGTTCACGAGCAAAACTTTTAATGATAAAACACATTTGTTAGGAGTATGTGAGAACAACATAGAAAAAGAAAGCGCTTTCCTCCAAGGGAAAAGTATTTTCCACTCCCATTTAATGCCCAACGAGACACTTAAAAACACTTGCTTTTATGATTTTTTTATGATTTTTTATGATTCTCTGGTTTGGCAGAAAAATGCACTATGAAATGCAAAATAACAATAACTAATATTTTCCAAATGTAACAAAGTTGTGAAACTGGCCTAGCTGCCTTTTTCCACATTCTTTATAAGTATTTAAGTCTTATGAATCACACACTCACAGGCTTTTGAGGTCCTCCACCCCCCTCTTCACTCTCTTCATGTCTGTCTTAGATTTCCATCATTTTTTTTTCTTTTTTTTTTCTGCCACTGTGGCAGTGGCCAGTCGAAGGAAGTTGCTGGTTATCTATCTAACTTTGACCCAGATGAAAATGTCATGCCTTTTTTTGGCAGCAATCAGGGACTCTCAAAAGCAGCCATCTCATACCCCAGACTTTCTAAATATACAGTCGGAGTGTGGAGAGGTTGCAGCTCTGCATGTGTGTGTGTGTGTGTGTGTTTGTGTGCTGCACTGTGGTGCTACAGTGAGTGTATATGTGCATCTAACTAAAAGGAGAGACTATCAGGACGCTGCCAACATAGGCATCATGATCCCTCTCATTTAGGGACCACTAATTGGCAGTTAATTAGCAGAATTGACTCTGTTGTCAGATCCCAAGTGCAAGCCCCCCTACTAACACCCTCAGCCCACTAAGTTCATTTGATCTGGCTGCCTCCTTGATGCCATAATAATAATCCCATTTTATCAGTTTTGGATGAAGAAACTCGTTTGGAAAAACATATTCTCATTATTGGCACCGGCGGTACAGCGCAGACTCCCCGTCGTAGCGGGTTTCATTTTGATTTCCACTCTGTTCTGGGCTTGTCACAGATCCAAATAGCTGCTCGCAGCAGAATCCAGACACATGCTTTACTCACAGGGTAAGCCATGGGAGCATTAAACAGCTGATGCTAATGTGTGCCACCGTGTTTATGTCTGCTCCAAGTGTACAAGCATGTGTTGCGTGTGAGTGCGGGAGCCCTGTTGAAAATTTTCGGTGTAATTAACAGGGCCCACTCCCCTTTATCGGGCACCGGGGGCACATTGGGTCAGAGCGCGGCTTGGACACCCACCGAGGTTGCGAGGCGAGCCCGGTGCCCACCTCTCTGTGTGCGTATGATTATGAAAAACAGGTGGTGGATTTAATAACGCTGGCAATGTCGGGCGATCATGCACAAAGAAGCGAAAGAAAAAATGAATGCCTTTTTACTTGTTTTCCCATTACATAGACTCTCCAAGGCTGTGGAATTCTCCCAGCTAAGACGGCATGCAAGCAGAACGAAGCCAGACGAGGCAAGAGAGAGAGAGAGAGAGAGAGAGAGAGAGAGAGAGAGAGAGGCAGAGTGCTATAAGAGACATTACAGAGAAAGCAGTAGAGAGAGAGGGAGATGGAGAGAGATGGGAGGAGGGAGGTCTTTGTACTTCTCTGCTCCTTTTGGCTCTTTTATTCCTCAATGGCTTGGTTTTTATTGGTGGGTCGTTTAATAACAAAGGCTCCACGTTTGAAATGAAGTCAGGGCTGCGTTTGCGTGGGGAGGCCTCCTTTTTTTTTTTTTTTTTTTACATTTTTAAAATTATTTATTTATTTATTTTATTTTAGAATGGTAATTTTCTTTCTTTTTTTTTTTTTTTGAACCAGGGGGGAGAACCGGGGAAAGATTGAGAGAATACACTAGAGAGAGCAAAGAGAGCAAGAGGGCGAGAGTGTGGGAGAGGGAGGATTCAAAGAGAATACAAGGAAGGAAAGTAGGTTAATTTATTTCATTTGTAACGCGTGCAAAAAAAAAAAAAAAAAAAAAACTTGAAACGGGTAAAAAAAAAAAAAAGTTAGGGGTTGTGAGAAGTCAAGTGTTGGGATTCTATTTTCATGAACAAGCAGCTTAATGTGCACGGGCAGCCACAGTAAGCCTGCTAGAATCTCTCTGTGCCTCAGGCCATCTGTGAGCAGAATAGCAATTTTATTACTTTGTCATTAAACCAATTTCACAGCAGTATTGTTTGTTAATGAGCAGCCGCAAACGAGCGAAGATGTCACGTACTGGAATAGCAGCAAGATTTGTGACCCTGGCACTCCTCTATCTCATTCCCTCAACCTGTGCCTCATTCTTATTCTTCCTCCTTAACATCCTTACTGTCATCCTCACCGTGTCTCTGCTGTCCACCCCTTCCCCTCCATATACTCTCCACTGTAGAGGTCCTTGCCTCGTAAAGGGGGGAACTGCAAAAAGATAAAATGCAAAGTCTATACAGTCGAATCCCTTTTTTATGAGCTTCCATTTGTCTTTGGAGCTCATTTGTATGGATGGTTTTCAGGATGTACAGTTCGAAAACCCCTTAGAATTTCTTATTATTTAGCTCTTAAACTTTATAGGAGTCTTAATGACAGACACCCAAAAATAAACAGCATATGACTATCAGGAACTTTTTGTTGTACTTCATAGTTGTTTACATGTGAAGGTGTGATTAGGGCTTTTTTAGGTGTATTTGGTGAAGTAGTAGTTTACTACTAGTAGTTTAAACAATGTTTCTTTTTTTAAAACTTTAGAGATACACCAATCGGTTGGCCAGAGATCAAAATCAGAGATTTTTTTTCTAGACTGACTCTGATTACTGATGAGCAGATGAAATACTTAAAAAAAAAAAAAAAAACTGTAATTCTCTTTTAAGTTACTTTATTAAATAAACTGAGCAAGCTCAATTTATACCTCATCAGCATCACTGGTGGATCTCCTGTCATTATTTTGATCAGGAGCAGAGGTGATGTCACACTGTGTGAGTGATGGAGATTCCCAAATGATTTTTCTTTTTGAACCTAATAAGATCGGATATGAAATGATCAAACTGCAGAGCCAAGAAATGGCAAAGGAATCAAATGACAATGACTTAAGAGTGTATCCAACAGGTTTTCTTCCAACTTTGTTTGTACCTCTGACCAAATGTCTAAACATTTCACTGATACTTCAAATATCTGGCTTTGAGTCCTTCCCCTACAGTAACAACTTCTACACTGAAGAATGCAATCTGTTAGATCTCATTTATGTTGCTTTCAGAGATCAGAAAAAAGATCATCATCTCTAATTTTAGGCAATGATCAGGGCACTTATTAGTAAGGGTCTGCTTTTACAAAGAAAGTCATGCATTTTAGCTGCTGTGAATGTCCCTTTATGGCTCGTCACTCCGTTTTTACTCTTGAGGTGAGTCTGAATGGGCTCCTGGTCATTTTGTGTTTTACGACTGAGGGAGGACCTGCGATGGAGAGTGAGAGAGAATTAAACTGAGGCCCCAGAGGATCAGACAACCTGACAGAGTAGATTTGGAATAATTAGTTTTATCTGCCGGGAGAGCTAGCCGGAGGATCTGCGTGTCATCCACAGGCTGCTGCGCCTCTGCGGCGATGCGATGCCAGGATGCTGTGTGTGTGTTTGGGAGGAGGGCGGGGTTGGAGACGCTAAGAAGGATAAAGTTGACCAGGTATAACAAGATGGCCTCGGGGTTCTGTGTGTATGTTCATGTGTGTTGGAACAGAAAAGGACAGGAGCTCCTTCTCCTGGCTGTGAGCTTCTTAAACTCTGTGAACCTTGATGAGGTATTTTCTCTCTGTCCAGGCATGCTCATTCTTTCACTCTTCTGTTTTTCTTTACCTCTTTCCTGGAGCACGTCACCTTCCCTTTTTACTCTAGTAGTTGACTGAGCAGCACCATGTTTTATCTTTGCTTTGTTTACGAGCTGTCACATTCAAAGAACCTCCAGCGACCTTGCCCCTACTCCTTTCAGTAAAAGTGAGTGTTTTGGGATATAAAATGGAAGAGAGTTGTAATCACATCCTTAACAACACTACGGTGTATCATTATTACCTGGTGTGTGTGTGTGTGTGTGTGTGTGTGCGTGTGTATTGTGTGTTTGTGTGTGTGTGTGTGTGTGTGTGAGTATGTTTTCCAAAGCTGTGATTCATGGCTCCAGTGCCCTCTGTGGCTTTGAAGTGTAGGCCAATAAGACTATCATGGAAGACTCTATAAATCAATATAGTCCTTTGTCGGTTCAAGCTGCTCTATCTCAGTTCAGGCCTGTTATAGACGAGGTATCAGTTATTCTGGGAATGACTATTGTCTGCTAATGGGGAACAATGGCAAAAGCTTAAGCCTTTTAGAACAACATTAAAAAGCTGAGGAGGATACAAATAACAACAAATAGTTGTGGGAATATTACACTGGCACCCTTAAATAAACACCAGTGCAACCAGTTGCATTTGGAAGTTACTTAAATAGAGTTAAAATTTTGGGGGTTTACTTCTGAAATAAAAATGCATCTTATTGGGTTATACGTGACCTACGACCCTGAATACACCATGCATGCAGTGGAAAATGGTGGTGGTTGCATCATGCTGCGGGGTATCTTTACTGGTAAGAGTCAATCTGAAGACCAACAGAATTAAATTGGAGGCTTGAGACTAATTGAGAAGGGTAGTTTTCATTTTTGATGTTCACAGAGGCTATCTACTTAATCTTACTGAAGCAGTTCTGCCAGGAGAAGTAAGCAAACATTTTCTGTCCCTCAATATACAAAGCTCGTATAGAGATTTCCAAAAAGACTTTCAGTTGTACTTGCTGTAAAAATGTTACAAAATTTGGCAAAGCTTATTGCAAGGCACTGTCAACAAAATGGGGGTCTAAATTTCTGCACATCTCTCCAGTCTCTGAGGCTGGAACACATGCATGTTTCCAGTTCATGTTTGTGGTGAGTTACAGGCAGTGGCTGCAAGCATTAGCCGAAACTAGAACATGGGTTACAAAATGTAGAGAGTGACAGAATAAGGGATTCAAATTACCCAATTCTGTATCTCCTCCCAGTCTGGATGAATATTTATTTCCCCCCCATCATAAACGATGATGTTTCAATGTATTTGGTGCTGGGAATGCCTTTTGTGTTCTTGTGCGCTCAGAGGTTCTCAGCTTTTAGCTCCCGCTCCCAAAAGAGAGACTACAAGGCTCCCCTCAGTATGCTCATGGGTGGAATAAAAAGAGATTTAAGAAAAAAAAAAAAAAGTTGTCAAAAACAATGTGAAATGCTGATTTCTATTTCTTATTTCCTTCACCGCTTGTTGCAGCTTGAAGCCTTCGGTATTTTGAGGTTGTTACTGGAGAATCGCACATGACAGTTCAGAGACTCATATTCAAGGGCCATCCACCGCAGTGAAGGCTGAACTGACTGAGCCTTTGTTGTATTTGTTTAAGGCTGTCACATGTGAAGCGGGCTGGTCAAAGCTGCACACAGCCTGTGGTGGAGCTGATCTGAGAGGCAGAGGGCTCGCTTCAGGCCACCAGGCACATCACAGTCCCTGTGGTCTGCTCCACAGTGTCATCGCCGCTTCTGCCAGCAGTCCCCTCCACAAACAGCAGCTATTTATATCACCAGCCTGCTTGGCTTTTTAGCCCTAAACTCTGCTTCTGATCGTCCCATCCCTTCTATGTGAGCGCGCGCATGCGTGTGCGAGTGCATGTGTGTGCTGAGGGGTATGTATGTCAAAGCAGTTATGTGCAACCGAAACGCCGATTAATTATTCAGTATGGGAAGTCAGAGGCAAGCTGCCTGCATTTAACTGATGACTCTCATGGTCACAAATAGATGAATTCGGAAACTCAGAAGTCTTTGAAATGTGCGCGATGGAAACCCCTTGCGCCCTGGGAGGAAAGTAAAACGGTGGAGATTCTTTTTGGAAACATGTGCACATGTGTGTGTGTATGCACTGCAGAAGAACAGATTCTGCATTCAAACTTAAAAAAAATAAATAAATAAATAAATAAGGAGCATCTTTACCTGCAGCCGGTTCAGCTCTCTACCGTTAGCTAATTCACTTTTAAATTCAGGAAAACAAACAGTTACAAATCCAAACGGCGCATTTCATTCTGCACAAGGATAAGTGTTGCTGTTGGCGGGACTTTTCTTCTCTTTAAACTGAATCCATTGTAGTCGTAATGGAGAGAGGGAGAGAGAGAAAGATAGAGATGTTTGATGTGTACCAAAAGAAATAGATTGGCCTTATTTCCTGCCTGGCTGCTGAAATGCAGACACTTGTGTTGCCTAGACGATGCAGGCAATTGACACTCAATTTTGTTTGAAATATCACGCCTCTATCATGTCATTATCAGCCTCCCCTGGTAATCCACAAAGCCACCCTGTTTGATATCTGACAATAAGGGGGAGTCAAGGAGTCACTGAATCTCTCACTCGATTACCAGGCAAGGGAGGAAAAAGAGGTTGAGAATAAAAGGGAGCATAAGATGACAGAGCAGGAGACAAAGAAAGGGGTGAATGAAATAAGAGATGGAAAGATAATGCAAGAGAGATGGAGAGGCTTAAAAAAAGCCATGTACTTGTATGATAGCAGGGGAGTGAGGGGGGGGGGGAAGTGGAAGTGTCTGAAAATGGAGATTATAGCTGCCCTCCTCACACAGGCGGACAGAGGTGGCATTGTGTGGGGCACGGGGAGGGAAGGGTGGAAAATGTGGGCAAGTGTGGTGGCACACTTCACAACTGAGAAAGTGAGGTGTTCTTGTAAAAACATCCACTTATCTGAAGAACGCTGATGGATAGGCTGGTGTAATGATAGTCTCTCTACTCCAAGTGTGTGTATGTGAGAGAGAGAGAGAGAGAGAGAGAGAGAGAGAGAGAGAGAGAGAGAGAGTGTTTGTGAGTAAGCCTATTCTGGAGCTGCATGAAGGCAGGAAGCCTTCATGCAGCCTTCATGCAGGAAGCCTTTCTCCACTCATGAGGTGAGAAACTGGCTCCCGAGGAGCGAACCTTAACTCCCAGCGCTGACAGCCTCTGTCATACTCCATGTGCTGCAGCCTGTTACAGGGGGCTAATATTGACTTAGCCACACTCAGAAAACAACAACAATAAAAACTACCAAGCTGTTTGTACCATAGATTTAAGGCAGGCAGAAAATATTGCTTGCACACATATATACATTAGAGTGTTGCTTTAACAGAGTGGGTGTTCATATGGAACTACTCTCCCAACAAGTAAGATGGTCAACTTTTCTTGTAACTTTCTTATCTACAGTGACTTGTCAACACTCCACACCCATTTGTCCTTTTTTCATTTTATCATGTTATAACCACAGTCTAAAAAGTTTGGGGGGGGTGTTCATGTTCACCCCTTTGACTTTGATACCCCTTATGTAAATTTGAATGTAATCAAATCCCACATCTGTGTAGTTTAATCTCAGTAATGAGCACATTTCTTCTGTGAAGGCCTCAGTAAGCATTAGTGAACAAAAAGCATCATGAGGACCGAGGAACATAGCAGACAGTTCAAAAATTGGAAAGCATATGGCACACTTGAAAATTTACTAAAACTTGGCTTTCCACCTGATTTTAAAGACTTGGCAAGGAGGGCTGGAATCATAGAAGCAGCCAATAGATGCACAGTTACTCTGGAGGAGCTGCAGAGATTCACAATAGGAAGTGAGGCAAGAAGGAAGTCATTGTTTAAAATAATGCTATAAGGAGTCCCACTAGCTGCTTGGCATGTCGCACTTAATATGTCATCTGCCCATCTGCCATGGGCAGATGACATCAAGGTTATTTGTTTTGGCCCATATGAGTCTGGTGGGACTTGAACCCACAACCTTTGGATCACTTCATCCAGTCTAGGAGTCCAATGCGCTATCCATTGCACCACAGAGCCATTGTACAAGTCAGTTGGGTCTCAATAACACTGGATATGCTCTTTTTGCTGAAGACGTGTGTAAGAATTTTAATTATGTTTGAGAATTGCAAAATGCTATGACTCTGGTGGGACTTGAACCCACAACCTTTGGATCACTTCATCCAGTCTAGGAGTCCAATGTGCTATCCATTGCGCC